CAATGTCTTTGCGCTGTAATTCATCTACTTACTGTCTCCGCACACCTTGCTCCCTAAAAGAATATACTGTCGACCCCCGATCTGCCACTGGCTTTGTCTTTTTCCACTGGCTAAGCCCCCAGGGGTTCCTTTCCGGTAGAGTGTCTACAAGTGGGGTCAAGATGGGCTCAACGGGGTAACACTCCTGCAGAGGGCCAGAGTCTGGAGTCCCAGGACTCCTAACTGCCTGTAACTCCAGCTCTTGAAGACCCTCTCTTCCCTTTTAGCCCCTGCACTCACACACAATTAAAAATAGAATGACTCTTAGGAAAATGTATTTCAATGAACAAAGGCTCTGCTTTCTTTCACAGGTGGAAGAGGGGTTTTATTGCGGCTTTTCTGCGGGAGGCTGCTGTTGAACGTGCTCAGCCCGGAGAGTCTGACCCGCTACTTCTGGAATAAAAACCCGCAAGCTCTGGCTACCCTAAGATGGCCCCGATGCTGCTTTTGGGGGGTTTGACTGGTTCAGTGCTTAGGATGCGTTTGCCCGGAAGCCTGTGCCCCATTCAGAACGCTCTAACACCTTCTTTCTGAGCGCTTTCTGTGGCGTGTTCGGAGCTACCCCCCACCCTCACCCCCACCCCCACCCCGAGTCTCTGGACTGAGCCCGCATGAGCCGTGGGGTTCCGCGGGGGGGGGGGGGGGGGCAGGCGGGATCCGAACGTTTCCAGGGCGCGGGGATGGGCCGCTCAGGGTGGGGGTGGGGCGGGGTGGGGGCGGGGGAGAGGGTTCGGGGCAGCGGCGCGACGGGAGCCCGGGGCAGGGGCGTGCACGTTCCTTCCCCGGGCTGAGGGCGGGTGTTTACGGGTGTCCTAGCAACCGCGTGCGGGGGCGGGGGGGGAAGGGCCGGGCGCCAGGCGACCGTGCAGGTGAGTGGCCGCGGCGGCGCGCATGGCTTTCCTCCTGGCCGCTGTCCTCGGCTCTCCTCCCCTCTCCTCCCGTCTCTCCCCCGTCTCCCTGCGTCCCTCGGTGGTGCACCTCCAACCCTCCGGGGTGGGTCCGTCTCCCACCCTCCCAGAGCCCCTCCAGTCCCCCTCCGCCCCCTCCCACCCGCTCGGGTCCTCCCTACCTCCCGTCCCGGAGCTGCCCGGCGACCTCCTGGCCTCCGCCACAGCCCCGCTCTGTGTTTCCGTCCCTCTGTCCCTCCCCGGTCTGAGGACAGGATTCCCCTCTGGCCCTCCTCTTGGCCTCCTGGCGCCTTTGACCTTCTTGCTCACCTCTGCCTCCAACCAGGCAGGGACTGGAGCTTGTAACACGCCCTCCAGGCGCCCTGGTCGTCCAGACTACAGGGTCGCTAGTGAAACTGCAGCGTGCTCACACCAGCGCTAAAGTTCGTTTTTTTCCATGGGGTTCCCCGAGCGCCTTGTTCATGCACGGAGTGGCCACGCATGGAGTGGGCCACCCACGTCCTGGCTCGCCACAGACGTTACACTTGAGATTTCACATAGCTTCCGGAAGAACTGAGTTGATTATTTCCAAAACTGTTGCGTTTTGTTAATGATAAGGGAAGCTTGGAGCTTAGCATAAAAGAAAAGTTTTATTAAATGAGTCGAGAAAACTAGCAATTAGATATTACATTGTTACACACACACACACACACACACACACACACACACACACACACACACAGAAACATACATATTTGCTCCTTTGTAACTCTGAACTCTTCCTGGAAACATTAATTCAAAGATACGGATATGTTTCGTGTGTTGGCTGTAGCCGTGTTCTCAAGGTGAAAGCATTAATGGAGTGGCGGTGATGGGCTGGGAGAAACCGTCCTGATAAACAGTCCTAGTTGTTTGTTTGAACACACCCCTTCTTCTCTTTTCTCACCTGCAAGTACTGCTCTGGCTTTCCAGATCATCGCAGCAGCCTCAGGCTCTCGGGTGTTCTTCCTCCTCCTGCTAATTCTCAATAGAGGCCTTTCAGTCCTTTCTGGGCTCCTCATCATTGACTGGGAAAAGGAATCTGCATAGATTTAAATGTGAGTTGAACGTTTATTTTTATAAAAAAATTCCTCATGAGCCAAAGAACTTTCTGCTCGTCTCTGTTCCTTTTAACCTGTCTTCTAAGAGGTCGCGATGGTGTTGCCTGTCGGCTGCCGTGTCCTCGTGTAATCTATAAAACCATAAACAGCGATGGAAAGAAGGGGCGCGACGCTGCGTGCACACGCTCTGAAGCAAAGGTTATTACCAATTTAACATGGGCAGAGCGCCCAGTGAAGCTTCTCTGAAGTAGATGAAGCATTTGCACACTTCTTTTGCTTGTTTATTCTCAGAACACTAGAAAACTAAAGTGTCAGGCACACATGCTCACACTTTTGACACCAAAGCACTTTTTTATCAATCAGCTATAGAAAAAAGAAATCACGGGAAAATCTGTACATCACATTTTGTTTCAGTGATACCTGTGTGTCTACACGTGTGTGTGTGAGTGTAAGTGTGTGAGTGTGTGTGTGTGTCGAGATAGAGAGAGAGAGAGAGAGAGCCAGAGACATACACAGGGAAGTGATTTTCTACAACACCTGGATTTTGTAATAAATATCTTATAATGACACTTCGGTATTTTGAATCCAAGAGTAGAGAAAATAATCTTACATAGACAATATAAGATAGACAATCTAAAATAGATAATATTTTAAACACTAATAATGCTCTGTGAAGGTACCATCATTCTGGAAAAGTTTAGAGAGTTATCCAGCCTGGGATGGGTAACCCAAACGTGGTATGTTTCCAGACTCCGGCTGACAGCAGCGCGTCAGTCTGCATCTTAAAACCTGTGCCTGATGTTATTGTCACAGTATGATTTCACACTAAAGTTCTGTGTAGGGTAAAGTGTGCAAACTTCTGTTTCATTTCTATGATTTCCAATCATGTGATGGCCGATGCACACGCAAGCTGCTTTGTGGCTTTCCTCAAGCAGAGGGAAACGTTAGGCTGCAGTGTCGCTTACCCAAAGTTTTCCAGATGCCAGGCGCCTGCAGGTCCTTCCTGCTGGGCATTCCTGTGCCCGAGGAGAGCATTTCTATCCTTGGCATGCATCCCCAGATGCCAGCAACCTCTCTTCCTGTTCTTTGGTAGCCGTGAGTTGACATGTCCACACTGCTGCCGTCCTGCTTCCCAGTGTGACACGGTCCCTGGAGAGAGGAGCCCAAGTCCTGTTACTAGATTTCACACCTTAATATGGAACAGAAAATAAAATCCCCACCATTTGGTGTTTCAAAGCCTTTGTTAAAATGGCAGGTGATGAGAAAAGCTCAGTTTATTTTGTATTTAATTTTATTACAATGTATTATTCTGGAGAGAAGGTCAATGGCATGACAAAACCACAGATGATCTTTAAACAATACTATCATTGCTAATAAGTTCTTGCTTTGTTCTCATTTAATTTTTCAGATAAACTCATCTTTTTAAAGACCCCCTTTTACAGATTAATTTCTGTCTAGCCAGAGTGAAATACATTTTATTTGGATTTGTTTTTTTATTTTTTATTTTTTGATTATTACAGTTTATTCACTTTGTATCCCAGCTGCAGCCCCCTCCCTCATTTCCTCCCAATGCCACCCTCCCTTACGCTTCTCCCCCCTTTGCCCTTCCCCTAGTCCACTGATAGGAGAGGTCCTCCTCCCCTTCCATCTGACCCTAGTCTATCAGATCTCATCAAGACTGACTGCCTTGTCTTCCTCTGTGGCCTGGTAAGGCTGCTCCCCCCAGGGAGAGGTGATCAGAGAGCCAGCCACTGAGTTCATGTCAGAGACAGCCCCTGCTCCCCTTACTAGGGAACCCATTTGGAGGCTGAGCTGCCATGGGCTACATCTGAGCAAGGAGTCTAGGTTATCTCCATGCATGGTCTTTCATTGGAGCATCAGTCTTTGCAAAGACCCCTGGGATCAGATATTTTTGGTTCTGTTATAGTTTCCTTTTGGAGTTCCTGTCCTCTCCAGGTCTTTGTATCTCCCCCTTCTTTCATAAGATTCCATGTACTCTGCCCAAAGTTTGGCATGAGTCTCAGCCTCTGCTTTGATACCCTGCTGGGTAGAGTCTTTCAGAGATCCTCAGTGGTAGGCTCCTGTCTTGTTCCTTTTTTCCCTCCCTCTTCTCATGTCTATCCCATTTGCTGTCTGAGTGGGGATGGAGCAATTTCCCTAGGGTCCTCCTTTTATTTGGATTTGTTTTAAATTTTATTGCTACACTGTTTTAATAACCAGTTTATTATTAAATAACCAGTTTAAAAATAGGCTGAAAATCTCGACCCTGTTCCTACAGCTGTCACACTTACTCTTAAGAAAGTAATATTTATATTTTGCGCATGATTTATGAACAGAGAATATAGGACTTCCTCGGTGCCCTGAATAAGCATGTGTACTATATTAACTTTCATCAAAAATTAAAATGACAATTCTCAGTCACACTTTGATCCTATTTTTTAATTAACCCCAGAGGCATGTGAGGGACTCAAGCCCTTGGGAGAGGGCTTGCCTGCCTTCAGTGTCCCCCTGCTGATATTATGACAGTAAGAGGGCCAGAGCAACAGGCTTCATTTAATTGTCTAATTCTAAATAATGTGTAGCTCAGAGCAAGTGCACGTTTCTCACTCAAACCCCCAGCCTCTGGCAGAGTTGGCAAGCAACGCTCTTACTGCCAACCTCCTCTGATTCTGTTTTTCCATTCTTGAATTTTTTTAAGCGTCCTGTCCAGCTGGTCTTTTTCTTGGTTTTTTGGAAATTAGAAAGATGTTATTAATTTTAGGGTAGGCTGATACTGGAAACTCCTTCAATACATGTCGGTTTTGTGTAGTCATGCTTAGCTGTTTTATTGCATGGAAGAGCAGTTAGACTGTTAAAAATGCAGAGTGTAGGTTGGGCTGTACTAGCACAAAATCTCAACAGTGTGGAAACCTCTAACTCTTTCTCTTTTGCTGTAGTGTGTGTTCTGAGTTTGGCTCAGACTGTCAAGAGCGGCATGGGCGTGGCCCTGACCAGATTGGCACAGTGGTCGGCTACCGGGTATGTGAATGGAAACCTGGAGCTGACCCCTCTGAATGAGTCATTATTGAATGAAATCATTACGTTTGTGGAGTCTTTTAGATATAACTACCCCCAAGAAGCAAATTTTGTTTTTGAAGAACCACTTGAGTGGGAATCAAGTTTGGAACCCTCAGCATTTGAATCAGGTTATATTGTCAGGTAAGCCACACACTTGATTCTAGAATTTAATATCAACTTGATATAGAGTTTCATGGACTGGTTGAGGGGTTGGTGCTAATAAATAATCCTGTAAACTGGGAATTGCAAATACATAGGAAACTTAAGGGTATCTCAGGTGGAAATGCAGGCTTTACTAATTTTAATTTAAGTGTAATTTCTTTTTGATAGAGGATGCACTCCCCAGATCTTAGCTTCCAGTGTTCACTCCTCTCTCCTGCTCAGCTTTCCACAACTCTGTATGACCTTCTGGACATGAGTAGCTACTGGCTGTGATGCCTGGTCTATCCAAATACCTACAGGACTGAACCATCCCATTCTCTAGAATGACATGAGGAGGGCAGAGAGTTTTGCCCAATGTGAGAGAATAGAACATACTTCATACATGTTAGACACGTGCTCTATTACTGCTATTCCTCCACAGTCCTTAAAGAAGAAACGTCTTAACAAAAAGAAGTCTTTCAAATCTGAGAGTGGTAAAGATCCTATCACTAGCTCAAAGAGTGGGATATCCACTCAACCTCTTTTGAAAATATGTGTGTGAACATATATGTGTGGCATGCACACACACATGCATATGGATATACATATTATCCATGATTAGATGTGCTTACGTGTATCACTTTGTGCTGAATTTGAGCAATAAGCAAGTCCAGGTGTGTATTTACTTGAGGATGCAGCCTCAGTTAATTATGTGACTTTGTTATTCTCTTTCTACTCCTTTTTGAGGCTGCATTTTCTCTCTTAAAGACATATCTCATAGCTGGGCACAGTGGCGCATGCCTGTAATCTGAGCACTTGGGGAGGCAGAGACAGGCAGATCTCTGTGAGTTTAAGGATAGCATGGTCTACAAAGCCAGTCCAGGACAGCCAAGGCTCCACAAAGAAAATCCAAACCAAACCAAACCAAATAAAAGGTTGATCTCATAAAAAGCAGTTTTCTAGCTTGCTGAAGCCTTCCTACAGACCCCAATCCCTGAACTGCATTGAAGAGGTTTTTAGTGCTCTTTAAAACTCTTTAGTCCCTTTTCTGAATTTTTAAATTTTAATATTTGCCAAAAGTCACTATTTGCTGAGAGCTCGTCAGCAAATAGATGGCTGCCTAATTCTTGGTTGCCTCCACCTAAGTTCAATATTTTTTTTATAAACCATTGAAAGATAGACTCAGCTGTAAAACCAATTAGAAATACGTTAACTACTTTGTGAAAAGATGGTTTTATAGCAGACGAGAGAGAAATTATCATCATATCTGGCCTCTGCGTTACTTCTATGTGCCAAGTCTAAACATGACCACATCTGTCTCCTTAGTTGGTGGGGATACAACACACTCAATTGTGTCACTGTTTTTCTTTCTCTTGAACAATTTCCTTTGACTTGTTTTCCATATGTAGTCTCTGCCTGTCATCTTTCTGCTTGCTGTCTCCTCCTGAGGGAGATGTGTGGGCATTTTGATGCCTAGTGTGTCTTGAGACAGTGACCCCTCACTGCTTCAATTCTGTCAACTTTATTAGGAAACTTTTCCATTTTGCTGCCCTCCATGTTTGTTTCTGACCTTTACTGAAGATGTCTTTGATGTTGGAAGGGGTGGAAGAGGTCCAGTAGTGTCACCAAGAGCTAAACCATGCTTGTGTGGCCCTGATGAAAACCAGATGGGTGCTGACCGCCTTAAAGATGACGGCAAAATTTACAGATAAGATTTTGCTATTAGCAAAATACTAAATGCTTCATGTGTCTAGGCCACAAGGCCGTCTCTTGTTTTACACAGCAAATTAAGAAATATTCAATAACCTGTAGTCATTGTTCTGTTTCTGTGACAAAAATACCTGAGATGATCAACTTGAAAAGAGAAAAGCTTTGTTTTGGCTCATGGTTTCTGATACTTTTTTCTGTCCCATTGTTTGGAAACTGTGGTGAGGTAGCAGAAGTCTGTTGTGAAAGAAACTTTACTCACCTCATGCATGGTATCTGGAAAACAAAGAAAGAGGTGAATGATCCAAAGCCCCATTATCCTCTTCAAGGGCATACCTTCTGGCATCTTAGTTTTCTTCCCTGTCACTGTCATAAAAAGTACGTTAACAATTATTACAGTTGCAGGTAACCATCCATTATGGCAGGGGAGTCCAGACTTGCAGGAGGGAACTGGTCACAGGGTACCCGAAGCCCGGAAACAGAGAGAGCCAAATGCTCTCAAGCTCCAGCTCAACTCCTGTCATTGATAATTTCTGTCAGTTTGACACAAACCTAGACATTCCTCTGCACAAAGCCTCTCTAGTGAGGAACTGCCACTCCAGCATGTCTGTGGGGGATTTTCTAAGTGTAACTGATGTAGTAGGGTCAAGCTCACCCGCGTGGTGCCGTCTCTGGGCAAGTGGGTTTGGGCTGTGTGCGAAGGGTGTCTGGAAAACTCAGGAGAGCCAAGTGTTCCTGCTTCTGCTTCAGTTCTTACCTCTAGCTCACTGCCGTAAGCACCTGCCACAGCTTTCTTTGATAAAGGCCCAGAACCTGTAAGCCAAACAAACCCCTCCTTCCCCAGGTAGGTTTTGGTCAGTTTTTCACAACAACAGAAAGTAAAGCAGAACAGAAATTGGTACCAGGAACATAGGGTATTGCTGTGTGGACTTGGCCATTTGGCTTTTATCCCTTGGACTACTGTGGGAAGAAGATGACAGTTTTTGGAACTTCAGGCTGGAAAAGCTGTTTGAGTGTTCAGAGCTGTTGTAGAAGCCTGGAAAATTAAGACTATTTAGAGAAATGCAAATGGTGGAGGCTAATGAAGTTTCAGGGGAATGTTTGAGTATCCCTAAAATACTACTGGGGACATTTCTGTGCTATTTTGAATGTAGAGTCTGTGGATTCTGGTCAGCTGGGGCAGGAGACTCGCTTGTGATTGACACGAGACAAGCCTCATTAATTTGAAGTCTTTGGTGTACTGGGGCAGTCGATGGCTAGCTGCCCCTAAACGGTCAGCATTGGTTAACAGGAGACCAACTTCACAGAAGTGCAATCTGGGAACCATTTGCTCAGGGTTAGCACACAGAAGCTCTGGTCCCGAGGGGCCAAGGCTGCACCTCCTTCTGGATGCTGAACTTGGCAATGTGTGAGATTTTCCCACGTGGTGTGGGTTTTGAAGGCATGAAGAGTTAGAGAAAGAACCTGAGGTTTGGAACCATGTGAGGTCCGCAGAGAACAATGCTACAGGTGCGAGCCCAGTTGTAGAGTCGTCAGGATGAAGGGTTGGCCTCATAAGGAGCATCCTGTGGTGATGGAGTTCTTCCTTCTCTGCTGAATTATAAACTTCAACTGGTGAGCAGCGAGGGACCCCTCCAACCCTTTCCTAGTTCTCACCACAAGTTTCATTCTCCCCAGTTCTGCGACTTTATGCTTTTAGCTTTCAGTCAGCCCATAGCTCAACCCTGTGGCCATCTATTTAGTATTCAGTGACCAAGCCTTGATGTGAGGCACCTTTAGAAGTGTTCTTCATCCTAAAGATGATTCCAGGAGCTTGTGTAGAAAAGTTTCTTCACAGATGTCATAGCCAAGCACACAAGCATTTTGGGCATTCAATTATCCCAGGTAGCTATTCACCAACCATCTTCTAGATGCAGTTACTGTTTGAGAGGCTGGAGTGGAGCCAGGGTCCATGGGTACCAGGCAGTACCCACACTGACAGATACCCTGTGGTAGCTGTTTGTCACTGCCACCAATGACCACAAAACCAATCACTAAATGAAACATAAAGTTTAGCATAGTTCTGGAAAACAAAGTCTAAAATGAATCTGCAGGGTAAAAAAAAAAAAAAAAATCAGAGTATGATAAGGGCACATTCATCTAGGAGACTTTAGGAGAATGTGTTCTTTCCTTTCCCAGATCCTGGAAGGTTTTTCCATTCTTTGGCTTGTGGCCATACATAGCTGTCAAATCAGCTTCCATCCTTGTGTGGTCTATACGTTTCTGTTCCTGTGAGGACTCTTACAATCTGTTTATCTCAGCGCAGAGGCAGTGCAGTCTTCCTGGGTCAAAATCTTTGTTAGTCCACCTGCTTATCCATCAATCGAATCTCCTTTTATCCTAAGGGGAGTATTTGGAAGGCTGTTAGTCTGTCTCCCGAAGTTTCCTGATCTCTTTGTTTTTATTTTAACGACACAGTAATGTGGTGTGTGTGTCCCAAAGGCTCATGTGAAAAAGCCTTGCTCATCAGGGGAGTGCAGTGGGAAGGTGGAAGGGCCTTGAAGAGACAGGGCTACTGAGAGTCAGGCCGCTGGAGGCAATCAGCGGATAGGGAGGTCAGGACTCAGCCCCTCCTCTTCCTAACACTCCCCGGCCTGGGCTGTGTGGCATCTGAGCTGCTCTGTGCTTCTGCCCTTAGCTGCACCCCCAGAGCTGCAGGGCCAAACCACTGGACTAGAGCCTTAAACGCTGTGAGCTCCAAACACCCTTTCCCGTTCTGAGCTGATAATCTCAGGAATTTCGTTAAGTGCCCAAAACTGATTAACACAGCACCAGGAGCCAATAACCTGGATCTGCCGGATTTTCTCCTTCTGGCTAATCAGGATACGTCTACATCCCTTTCCCCACATTGCGGCTTCGAATAGACTGTCGGATCTTCACATGCAAGGGCCTTCTCAGGGATACCAGCATGTAATAACGTAATGCAAGCAACACCTAATTAAAAAAAATACATTTAGTTTATGTTGCAAGTGATAGAAATGTATCTCATGAAACTTTGGCTTTTTTTTTTTTTTTTTTTTTTTTTTTTTCGAGACAGGGTTTCTCTCTGTAGGCTTGGCTATCTTGGACTCATGTTATAGTCCAGGCTGGCCTCAAACTCACAGCAATCTATCTGCCTCTGCCTCCCTGAGTGCTGGGGTTAAAGGTATGTGTCAACATGCCCATTTTTTTGAAACTCTTAAAATACTTAAATCCCAACCTAAAAACAAAAACCAAAACAAAAGCCCAAACCTTAAAAATGGGTAAAAACACTGAAATCCCAAGGTCTAATAATATCTGACCAGGAAAGTTTATTTAGAAAAACTAGCTACGATGCTAAGGGCAAAAGAAACTGCATTACGATATTTAGAGTGGTTCTAGTTTGCCTTTCTGTTCATGAACTCAAAATAGATGTGAAAATTCCTAACCACTAATTACTGTGCCGTAAAGATTTCACAAATGAAGTAACGTTGGAAACCTTGAAGTGTGAGTGTCTGGGTGGGACCAGTGAGCTTTTCAAAAGACACCAGAAACAAGCACATCCTTGGAGAAACAAAGCTGACAACTGACTAACTGAGTCCAGAGCAAATTCTAGGAACTGTGGGGACAATGTCCTGGGAGGCTGACAGCTCATCTTGGCCGCTGCCAGCTTGGGGGCTGAGTCACAGCATGAGATGTGGAGGGGAAGGAAGAGCTTGTAGTCAGAGCCATCTCTAGTTCTTGAAGACTCCAGGGATAGTCTTTCTAAGTATCTTCATGGTAAAGTCTTCTGGCGGGAAGGTAACTTCGGCTTTCATCTCATCCCATTCCGTAGTGAAGCAGAAGTTCGGTCAGAAGAGGTTGACCAAGATGGACAGCCCTTGCTGCTTCTCTGTATGCCTCATATCAAAGTCAGGAGCTTTGGGCTACTGTCACAGTTGTTATCATTTGACAAAATCAACAAGCTGCAAGAGACACAAGCCTGTATTGAAGGTGATATGCACTCTCCACTTGGGATTTGAAGACACAATCTTGGGGGAAAGGGGAGGCCTTAATTATATTCTGTTGAAAAAAAATCCTACCATGTAAAAGATAAAAAGTCATATGGACCACGAGAATCGTTCAGCCACCTTAATACTCACATCCAGTTTCTGCTTCAGAAGGAAAACCTGATGTGTCATGGGTGGGCTTCTCATTTTAGCATACGGCTTCCGGAAGGCCCCGTGCCCTGTGGTGTGTAGGGTCATGCTCGGCCATGTGTTACAGGGACCAGCTTGAGTCCCCCTCCCTGTGGCATACAGTGCTGTGCTTGGCACTGTGTTTCCTCCAAGAGAGATGTAAGCTCTTTTTCTTTTTTTTCTTTTCTTTTCTTTCTGTTTTTTCTTTTCTTCTTCTTCTTCTTTTTTTTTTTTTGAGGCAATGGCCATTCATATGTTCCTTTTTTCATCTCTCGGCATGTTCTGTTTGTGACATCTCAGCCTTCTGTGAGTAACTGTGTGTATTTAGCTCCGTGGGAAAGTTTTCCTTTCACTCATGATACACACTAACTTCTTTCTGTTCATTTGTAAGTGTCTAATGTGAAAAATCCTGACTGGCTGCCTCTTAAGCTTGTGTTATGTACATTTCCCATCAGGAGGAAAGCCCACTCATGGGCAATGATGTATCCCATGTCTTTTGTGGGTTTAGACTAGGTGACCAGTGGATTCCAAGAACATGGTAACTGAATTCTGCCTACTTCTATGTGAGGTGAGAGGGTCCTCTTAAAAAAAATAAAGACATTAGGGCTGGAGAGATGGCTCAGTAGGTAAGAGCACTATGCAAGCATGAAGGCAGAGACTTATGTGCCAACAGAGGACCATGCATGGAGAGGACCTAGACCCTCTGCTCAGATGTGGCTGACTGGCAGCTCAGCCTCCATGTGGATCTCTGAGGGGAGCAGGGGTTGCCTCTATCATGAACTCAGTTGACTGCTCTTTGATCACTTGACCCTGATGATCAAGCCACGGAGGAAGAGGATCCAAGCAGTCCTGATGAGACTTAACAAGCTATGGACAGATGGCAATAGTGGAGAACTCCCCCTTTCAGTGGAGTTGGGGAAATAGTTGAGGGGAAGAGGGAGAGAGAGTGGGACTGGGGGAGTTGAGGGAGGGGACTTCATCGGGATAGATAATGAATAAATTGTGAAGAAAAAAAACAAATTATAGGAAATGAAGAATAAAATCTTTATTAGTCACCAGCTGCAAAGTGGGTAAGCTGAAGTGCTTGAGAAGTGGCCTGGTCCCTGGTCACTGTATTTTTCTCACATAGGACCACTCCAGGCAGTCTTCTGTGGTATAGTTTACTTCCTGTTGCAGAGTTATCATGTCAATCAAGTCAGAGTTTTAGAATTCTCATGGACATTGTCTCTCCATATCCCAGTATATTCAGATTTCTGTCTTGAATGTTATATTCTAAACAAAGTTTTCCTTCATTTTCTTTCCTCTCAACTGTATTGTTTTTATACTTACAAACTCTGTTTTCTGCATCACTGGGATCCGGTTCTCGTCTGCATCATTTTTTGCCACGAGTTTTTACTTGTCCTTCACAGCCTTGATACACATGCAAATGCTGGCAACATTGACTTTCCCAACTCTTAGGTTCAAGAGGTGTGCACCAAAACGCATGGAGAAGTCAGCCCCTTCAGGCAGGTGGAAAACTGTAGCAGACCTATAGAGTGAAGGAAGCCTGCTGGGGAAAGACAGGGCTTGGGAACGAGGAAGAATGGCAGGCATAGACACAGGTACACACAGCTTGAGTAGTGGTTCTTCTAGGGGTAGACTTCTCTTCAAACCAGTTCTGAACATGCTAACTGAATGTATCTGCCACGCACAAATTCTCACAGTCAGTCAAAGAAGGGAGCTCATCTTGGCTTTGGTCTTACTGAGGAGAGGGTGCACACGGCTGACATGATACGGGGAAGAACACAGGAAGAGGTGTGAGGCAGCTCCTAATACCGTGGTCTTTCAGGAGGAGGGAGGAAGTCTAACAAGCTTGGCCAGAGGAAAGCTGAGTGCAAGGAACCCAATGAAGGAGAATTTGGTGGGATTTCTCGGTCTTTGTATTTGTTACATGGGGTAATCTTTATTATTTGTGTTGATGTTTTTGTCAGCTAACAGAGACCCTATAGTGAAAATCTTGGGCTCCGATTATGGTGAGATAAAAGAAGAGTCCAGTACCATAAATATCATTGATATGTTCACAAAAGATAGTAAGTCATATATTAAAAGGAAAATTGCCATCCTGCTGAAGCAGCTGGACCTGAATCTGCTCAACCACTCCCTAAAGCACATCTCACTGTGAGTGTCTGAGAAATATCTCCAATGCAGCCGGGCAAGTGCTCTCAGCCCCTTAGAAATACAAGAGAAAGGGGAGCATTTACCGCTGTAGAGTTAACATTTCCATTTACAGGAACAAAACGTCCATTCTATTGGGTTTATTTACACAAGTTCCAAAAACAATTCTAGTCACTATTGCCAGGACAGTCTAGTGGGGTTGTCTCCAGGTCAGAAGGCATTGAACACCTGGCTATCTTCAAAGACTCTTTAGATAATTACACGTTATTAAGTGATAGCACAAATAGAATATTGCGTTTGTGTAGTACAAACTGTGATCACATTTCTAGTACATTTTAGGAATATGGTACTATTGTTATGAAATGAACTCTTGAGGGCAGGCAACATAGCTTAGCAGGGAAAGGTGGCTGCTGCCAAGCCTGATCACCTATGTCCCATCCCATGGCGAAGGGAGAGAAGTGACTCCTACAAGTTGTCTTATGACCTTCACAGATGAATCATGGCACACGTGTGTGCCCACACACAGAGACACCAAATAAATAAAAGAGTCATGATCTCTTTATTTCTATAAAACCTTGGCCAATGTAAATTTCTTGACATTTCCGCCAGTAATGTCACATGATTCTAACATGGCTAAAAGGAATTTCAGCATTAATTGCAAACAGGCAGCCTCATCCCCGATGTTGCGGGATGTATTCGTTTCCTTTAGATTCTATTTCAAAGTACTTTATTGTTTAATGTTTGTTTCAGAGAGATTTGCTTGAACCCAGCAACGTTTAAGAAAGATGTTGAGCTGCTCCAACGTTTCTCAGGAAAAGGGGAGCACACAGTGCTGGAGTCGATTGAGTACACTTCAGGTTTGTCTTCTCAGGCTCATTTGATGTCACTTATATTTTCATAACTGTGTCCATAACACTTTTCCATAGTTGCATTCCAGACATTGGAATCTTCAAGACAATGCACTCTCTCATTTCCCATAAGATCTGCTGATGATATACTTTCACCTCACAGAACTGAACTGCTCCTACTTATGGTTTAACCATCACTGTTTTCAGATTATGAATTTTCAAATGGGTGCCGTGCCCCACCATGGAGACAGATTCACGGAGAAATTTGTTACTTGATGGTGAAGCCGCACGATGTGGAAACCCTGTGCATTACCTGCTGCGTGGAAGGGGTGTTTTTAAATGGCGTGAGTGCTCTTTAAGGAAGTGTGTGGGGGTGGCTCGTGTCATGGGTTGTGTCCTGATGATGGTGGAAAAAGGAGCTCTGCTCTGAGACTGAAGCCCCAACGCTTTCAGCACACGTCTGGGCAAATGCCAAACCATCTTAGAACCAGGCATGGTGGTTGTCACTGCATGACACGGAGCCAGTTTTTGAAGAAACAGAAGTAACTCTTCCCACCTCTCCAACCTGGACTGCTAACAGAATCCGTTCCCAGGTTTAGCCACACACAATTGAAGGTAGAAAAGGCCAAAAGGAAAAAAAATTGGCAATTTTTGAAGTAACAACCATAGCTTCCATCCTGAGTGTTCTAGGGCAAGGGAGAGAGGGCAAGGGAAGTTAGGAGCAAGAGCCGCAGCAGGCTGGGATCCAGGCGGCTGGGGAGTGGCTCCTTCTAGACTGCACTGCTTCCCACGGGGCTTGGACTGTGTCGACAAGCAGGCACATGCCTGGGGAGTGGATAGTGTCCAGTTCATGCTGGTGCCCCAGGAGGTGGTAGACCTGAGCCTGTGAGGGGGCAGCATTTGTCCTTCACTAACCACATCTCATAGAGCCTGTAGGGATATGAGGAACTGGGCATTGGAACCAGCCATGCACCTGGAGCAAAAGCCTGTGACCCACCGGGAGGGCGGGCACGTTAGGAGGAGGGACATTTTTCTTTTGATCCTTGTTGTCTGAACTTAACCCAACCTACCAAAACAAAAACCGAGTTTAGATCCCAAGACCAAGGATCCCAAAGGAAGTTTGGATAGGTGCCTCTGTGGTAAGAGATAGACAGCATGTAACCACTGAGAACCCAGGCTACAATGTGAATCTTGCTCTTTTTGAGTCACTGAACTAGCCAGGAGGGGCTCAGCTGCTTCCTCAGCAACACCTCGGTTGGGACCTTCAGTGTGAATTTGGGACTCACAAGGAGGATCCGGGTAGTGACTGAGAACCCCACTGTCACAGGAGGTGGCCAACAGGTCTTACACCTTGCTTGTGTTGATTTCAGGATCCTGGTACCACCTCTAGGATGGCCCACTGGAGTCCTCCACTAGCACCTTTGAGTGCCTTTTTTTAATTAACATTTAACTTGATTTATTTCTGCAAAGAGAATGTAGGCTATAATTCTGGTTGTTGATTTGTTTGATATTTTAGAAAAGTAAATGTTCTAGTTAGAATAAAATAAAAGAAAATAAAAGAATGATTTCTTTGACCTTATAGAGAGGATCAAGCAGCTTTTGTTTCTGTCAAGATTATATTGGGAAACATTAAGTACCCCTCTCAGATTTAAAGGAAAAACTCAAAAACTGAGAACAATCAACAAAAAAAACTTTTGTTAATTTCCAAACATTAAAGACAGCATAGTCGTGTGTTTCTGATGCAGGATGGAAGAAAAAGAAGTGAACTAAAGGCAGAGGCAGGGGGAAGAAGGGACATTAAGTTCTCTAGAGATGTTTTCCCTAGAAAATGAACTCAGTGTGCAATCCACTGCACACAGAGCAAACCACAAGTGTGCCTCTGACACAGAATTTTCTCTAGTGAAGTTCTAAGCCTTAGTCCCTTTGTGATGTCATCAGTTAAGGTTCTTCAAGTCATATGTGTTTTCACAGTAGAGGAAAGTAAGGACTTCAGTGGTCGGCAAGCAAAGCTCTACATATGTAAAAGAGGTACTCAAATGTGGTGAGAGGCAGATGTTGTAAGTGACAATTAATATTTACTATTGATATATCTTCTGGTAATGCTGCTGTTAATCCTAAAAAGCTGTATACCCAAATCACACAGAGACTAGGATTTATTATTTAACCTAGAACACAATGCTGGGCAATAGTTACTCCCTCCTAAACCTCCAAGCCCTCATAGTTTCCTAACATTTAGATTTTACCACATATACTTGCTTTTTGTGAAATCTTAGGTCTGGTTCATGCTCCATGTCCTCCAAGAACTGTCCTCCAGCTCTCTCTCCCAGCTCTCCCTCATCCTTTTTTCCTCCCACTCATTTCCTGTCCTCTGGCTCCTCCCCTCTCTTTGCTCAACATTGTATCTAGTTGCTTTATTTTGGCCTGTTTACACAAAGTTGAGACAGGATGCTTAGTATAAGTATCACAATGCAATATCCAGATTGAAACCAGAGGGGGGGGGAGAAATCAGCATTTGAATGAACAAGGGTAAGATGTATACATTTCAAAAGAACATTATACCAACAGGCAGATGGATGGATAATGAAATTAAGTCAAGGGAAAAGGGCCTTGCCAATACACATCATCACACAGGCTGCCACATGACCCCTTTAGCCAATACAAAAATCATGACCATGGATGAGGGTTTGTAGGGAAGTAGGGAGGATTGATAGGGGTGGGAAATGAGAATGATTAAAACGAACTCCTATTGTATGAAATTGTCAAAACAAAAGAAAACATCAGCATGTACTCATAGGCCGTGGCATTCTGATCTTGCTGCTTTATTGACTACTGTGTTAATCATTCCATTGAACCATTTCTCCCAAAGGGAAAAACAGACCACGAGGGGGAAATTAATTATGAGAGACAAGGTGAAGTTTACAAAGACCTTTTTTCATGTTTAAAGGACAAATCACGAATGTTTTCAGAGAATATGTCTAAACAGGTAAGTTCAGGTCATTCTTTTATATTACTTGATTACGACTTTTTATAGCTTTTTCCATATTTTTGTTGCTCTAAACTCAAAGCATATACCTGTTAAGCAAGAACATTCTATTCTTCCTTCTACCTATGATTTCTGGTGAACACTAATTTAGTCTAATTTACCCATTCTAGATGATTCATATCAGTGCAATCATTGGACCCACTTAATATCTATGTGAGAGGAATCAGATTAATGGGCATGTGACCTTTGTGATTTATTTGGTTTATTCCACTTAGCATGTTGTCTTACCTATCATGTTTAGATTTTCATTTCTTTTTATGGCTTCATTTGATTCCATTTACATGCATGCTGTCCTTCGTTTCCTGCTGCTTTGAGAAAATACTCCCGACAAAAGCAACTTGGGGGGAGAAAGGGCTTATTTTGGCTGGCAGTTCCACATCACAGCCCGTCATTGCAGGGAAGACAGCAGATACTTCAAACGGCTGGTCACACGCCCAATCAGGAGCAGAGAGAAGAAGTCAGGCTTTTAGTGCTTAGCTGGCTCTCCCCACGCCCACACATGTCAGGGTCTCCTGCTCAGGAAATGACTTGCTCACACTGCAGGTCTTTCCCCCTCAATTAATGGAACAATCTCCCACAAACAAGCCCACAGGCCATTATGGTCTGCACAATTCCTCCTGTAGACCTTCTTCCCAGGTGACTTTAGATTTTGCCAAGCTGACAATTAAAACTAACCAGTGCACACACATGTTAAATTGGGCTTTTTTTCTACCCCATGAACACCAGTCCACATGAATCCACTTGAGTTTGTACTCCTTTGGGTGGCCACCTGAAAGTGGAATTTTGGGTCACGTGGGAATTATTATCATTCTTGTAGGAAACACCAAACTTTTCCAAAGTAGCTGTAACATTTTAGATTACAACAGGAATGTACAAGGAGTTTATTTCCTCCGTATCCTCTCCAACATGTACTTTATGTTGTTTGAAAGAATCTTAGTGAGTTACTGGCAGGCCTCTGAAGCCTAGCCTCTGTTTTCTTTTATCTCATCCTACCACATTCTGGCTTGGCATTCTGAAAACACCTGATTTGTCTTTCAAATGTTGTACATATCTTTAAGTTTTAAGCTTTCTTATGAGATTATTTTAATTGATTACCTTTGTTCATTGACAATGCCATGCATGTATGTAGAACATTCTATTTACTCTACCCCACCGTCTTTTGCCTCCCCCCCACCTCTGTCATCCTAACACTTTTCATTGCACAGTTCCCTCCCGGTTTCATCTTGTTTTGTGACCTACTGATTTTAACTTTCCAAGTAGCCACAGAATTGGAACTATGCATTGGGACCTGGTGGGCTCAACTGCTTGGAACACAGCTAAAGATAATGACTATTCCTCCCCAGAATCCATTAGTTGCCATAACAATTGATTCAACAGAGAGGGTTGGGCCCCCCCCCCCCAGCACCTCCTGATCTGTGATTGTTTGTTGACAGGCCTAACCTTGCGTAGGCTCCTTAGTAGCTAACTGCAGCTGCTGTTGTGCAGTCTGGTTTGCAATGTCTGTGTAACGTTCCAAAGATATTTGCAGACCTTCTCCTGACATCCGTGGCTCTCACACTCTTGGTTCCCTTCTCTGCAGTGTTCCCTGAGCCTTAGAAGGGCAGTGTAAATGTTACGTGTTGGGACACTGCTTTCCCATTCTCAGTGTTTTTATGAACTTTGTCAACCATTTGCTGAATAATCCACCTTCTCTCTTAATGTACTGCTGATAGTTGTTTCTAAAGAAGCTTTCGCTTTTGCATTTCCCTGTTCTCCAGAGATAGAGTCCAAGAGGGAGGGAAGAAAGGAGAGAAAGTAAAGAAGAAAAGGAAAGATGGGTGGGGAGAGGGTGAGATAGTTTCAGAAAGTGGCTTCTGCAGTTTTGGGGGACAAGGAAGTCTGAAATGCAGAGTCAGGTCAATCTCGTGGGCTGGAGTACAGATATGCACAGAAATCGTGTCTGGAGCCTCACTTTCAGGAGACAGTGGTGTGGAGACTCAGGCAAGGTTTTCTGTTGGCAGCTCAGAGAGAGTTACCCCTCTGGGAAATCTCAGTCTTTCTTCTTTAGAGCTTCAACTTCCCAGGTGAGGTAGATTCCCCTACAGAGTGCAACCTGCTCCGACTCTACTGGTTCAAGTGGCATTTCGTGCTAAGGCTACTTACACATCTGTGTTTAAGTACAATGTAACAAAAGCAATAGACAACTTAGTCCAAGCAGGCAGACACCAAAGGAACCATTACACCCACTTCTGTTATTTTCCTTTCCCTCTTACTTTTCCCTCTTGCTTTTAACAGTGTGAAAGCTCCGGGCTCAGGCTCCCCACCCCCAAGCCATCCTGCTATGTTCATGTTCCTCTCGCTGCCCATCAGCGCTGGAGATTTTGGTTTAGTTTGTTTCTGGAGGCAAGATCTTACTAGGCAGGGCGAGCTTTCAACTCAGGATTCTTCTGCCTAAGCTTCTAATCCAGACCTGTGCTATGCTCCCATCCCAACAATGAAGCACTTTATCCCAAGAGTCCCCAGCACACGGTGCTAGAGAGCGTCACTCATGGTAGTTAAATCTCCAGACAATGCTAATCTGATGTTTGAGCTGGGAATATAAACCTTGGTTGAAGGAAACAGCTCTTGGGTTTGTGACATTCAAGGCTCAGGGATTCACCTCAAGGGCCTGCCCTTGCTGTAGGCTCAGGCCTCACTCTACTTCAGTCATACCTGAGTATTACCAAGTCTGAAGTGTCTCTGGTTGTTGTGACGATGAAAATAATTCATTTCCTCTAAGAATAGAGAAGAAGAAGAAAAAAGTACGTTTTGATGTGCATTTGCATTCCTCAACCTGTGGGTCATAGCCCCTTTGGGGTAGAGCAGCTCTGTCACAGGGGCCACGTTTCAGACATCCTGTATATCAGATATCTACATTATCATTCATAATAGTAGCAAAATTGCAATGGTGAAGCAGCAATGGAAGTGATTTCATGGTTGGGGGTGACCACAACACAAGGAACTGTATTAAAGGGTCTCAGTGTTAGGGAGGTTGAGAACCAGCAGGAGGGCTGGGATTGAGGTGTAGGCTCTGGGACATCTATCATGGCCTTGAGACAGCCTCTGAAGAGTCAGCTCCATGCCGCATCCAGAACTGAAGTCTTTCCATTTTTGAGCTCCAAAAGTCTGCACTTTGCACCAAAATCTTTTCTGTGTATTTCTCCCATGAGAACCATTTACCATGTGCTGTTGAAGCTATTTTGATGTGCGTCATCTGTCTTTGATAAGAATGGAGTTTTGTGGGGGTTTTCAGACTGAGAATAGTGAAGGCCCAGTCTATCTTGTTAGAATCAGAAATCCAGTATGTACATTTAATCATATCCTTTCAAAAAGAACATTTAGCACAATTCTCATATAGTAAAATTTACAGATCTTGCATGTAAAGTTGCATGCGATTTGGATAAATATCTGTGGAGCACCCTGATCAAGATAGAGAATATTCTCATCATTATTGGAAAGTACCTTAATATTGACTTTGATTTCATCTTTCTTTCTCACAGATAACCACTTCAGATTTCTGCCCTTAGAGATTTTTTTTGTTTTTGCTTTTTACTTCATTTAATTAAAAGGATATAATAAACTTCAGTCAACTTGTTTCTGAGATTCATCAGTGTTTGTATTACAAGTTTGTTACTTTATTTCTTTAATGGCTATCATTTTATTGTGTGGATATTCCACACATGGTTTTATCCATTCACTTGCTGATAGACATGCAGGCTGTTTTGTGGAACGGGCATTGAGTACAATGTTGTGTAACTCTGGATGTCCGCAGGTCTGCTGTGGTGAACCCTCTTTCATGCCCACATTTGTTTGTCTTGTTTTGTTTTAACCCATCTGAATGGAAGTGTGCCCATCTTAGCCAGCTTTCTAAGAGTATCACCAATTTTCTCTGCGTTTGATTTCTATTTTACTAGTGCTCTTTACATCATCTTCCTTCCTTCCTTCCTTCCTTCCTTCCTTCCTTCCTTCCTTCCTTCTTTTTTCTTTGTTTCTTCTCTCTTTAGGATATATTTGCTTTCCTTATTGAATTTCTGAAGTTGGAAATCTAGCTCACTGATTTGAAACCTCTGTCTATGCATATTGTATCTTGGTTATCATTTATTGAACAGATAATATCCAGATGTAAGTAAATACATACCATATTTATCTTCCTGGGTCTGAATTATCTTACTCAGAATGTTTTATTTTTTGTAGTTCCACCCATTTACCTACAAATTTCATGTCATTTTAAAAAAGAGCTGAGTAATACTTCATTTTATAAAGGTAGCACATTTTCTTTATCCATTTCTCAATGGGGGACATCTACGTTGTTTCCAAACCTGGCTATTATGAACAGAGCAGCAATGGATGTGGTTCAGCAAGTCTCTTTGTGGTAGGACAGAGTCCTTTGGGTATATGCCCAGGAAAGGTATAGCTGGATCTTTAGGTAGCTTGGTTCCCATCTTCCTGAGGGACTGCCACACTGTTTCCACAGTGGCTGCACACATTTGCACTCCCACCAGCAATGGAGAAGTGTTTCCCTTACTCCACACCTCACCGGCATAAGCTGCCACTTGTTTTATTGATCTTAGTTGTTCTGACAGGTGTAACATGAAATCTTAAAGTAGTTTGCATTTGCCTGGTGGCTAAGGATGTTGGACATTTCTTTAAGTGTTTCTCAGCCATTTGAGTTTCTTCTTTTTGGAATTCTCTATTTAGATCTATATCCCATTTTAAATATTAGGTTGTTTTTTTATATTTTGTTTCAAAATTTTCTTTATATATTTTGGATATTAGCCCTCTATTAACTGTAGAGTTGGTAAAAATATTTTCTCGTTTTTTAGTCTGCTGCCTTTTCCAAATGATGGCATCCTTTTCCATGCAGAAACTTCTCAGTATCATGAGGTCGCATTTATCAATTGTTAATCTTAATGTCTGTGCTAATGGTGCTCTGTTCAGAACGTCTTTTGTTGTGCCTCTGAGTTCAAGGCTATTCCCCACATTCTAGGCTTTAGTGTATCTGGTTTGATGTTGCCGTTCTTCTATCTGGAGTTGAGCTTTGTGCAGGATGATACAAATGTATCTATTTGCATTCTTCTACATGTAGCCATCCAGTATGACCAACAGCATTTGCAGAATATGCTCTTCCTTTTTACAATGTATATTTCTGGCTTCTTTATTAAAAAAAAATCAGGTATCCATAGGTATGTGAATTTATGTCTGGGTTGTCAATTCAATTCCATTTATGAGGTAACTGAGACCCCTTCTTAACTAGGGAGCCATCTCTACAGGTCCAGAATATGTCTTCTAGTTCTGGTTACTTTCAAGATGCTTCTGTTATTCTTGATTTGTATAGTTTTCATGTGATGTGTCCTGGGCAACCCAGGAATGGAGTTTTGTTTTGGGGGGAGTTTTGTTTTTTGTTTGTTTGTTTTGTTTTTAATCCAAGAGATGGTGAAGAGTATGTAGGTCTATGCATGCTGCCATAGAGCTGAATTCAGAAACATCACATTACTCCCTGCCTGACTCTAAGGTCTTGGTCTTGACATTGCCCTTTTTCAAACGATATGCTAAGCCACAGCAGGTAGATGCGTTTGAGTTATTCATCCCTATCTTCAGATGGCGCTAAGTCGTTAGTGATGAGAACCTACTCAGTGAGGATGAACTGAGAAGTTCAGAGATGATGTCACTGTAACCATTACTCTCTCTCTCTTTTAAATAAAGGAGCTTAGATTTGCTGAGGAGCAACAGAAGGATAAACAGGTTTTTGAGAAACCCAAGGAAAATACTCCATCATTGGTAACTGTCTCAGAGAAGAGTAAAACTGTCTCAGAAAGGAGCCAGATTAGCTTTGGGAAAAGTCACATGACCAAGAGACTGGAGCCAAGCTTAAACTGGAGAGCAACCGTTGATTACAAAGAGTATGTGGTTGTTTAAATATGTCTTTAATCGCTATGTATTTGCCTAACTTTTCCTGTAGTTGTGTGTCATATTAGACACACATGTATTCCCTGTCTTTTCTGTCTGATTACTTTTTCCTTCTTTGTGTATCCTAAATGGAAAGATGTAGCAGTAAGACTACTTGTGTTTGAACCACCATGATGGGAGGAGAAAAAAAAATGTTACTTTTGTGTAATGGGTGAGTAAGAACAGCAGTATGAGACAAAAAAAAAAAAGATGCTAAAATACATGGAGAAATAACATGGAACATGAAAATGTAGGGGTAAGGGGAATTTCATGATTACAGTTACATGGAGTTCATCAGGAAATTTTTTTTCATAGCAATAGTTCTGCAAGCAGATCTTTACACTATAAAAAGGATGTGGTCTCAGCAATATTAACAGATTTATGTAAAGTAGATACTGGGATATTATCTTTGTTATGGTAACTATTGCTATGATGAATCACCATGCAAAAGCCACTTGAGGAGGAAAGGATTTATTTCACTTACAGTTCCATCCAACAGTTCATCAATAAAAACAGAAAGGCAGGAATCCAGGCAGGGTGAGAACCTGGAGGCAGGAGCTGACGCAGAGGCCATGGAGGGGTGCTGCTTACTGGCTTGCTCCTCACGGCTTGTTCAGCCTGCTTCTTACAGAACCCAGGACCACCAGCCTCCCTCATCAATCACTTATTAAGAAGAACGTCCCACAGGTCTACAACCCAATCTTACAGGACTTTTTCCTCAACTGAGGGTCTCTCCTCTCTGATGACTCTAGCTTGTATCAAGCTGACATAAAACAACCCACTACACATACTAAACCTAATATAGATAAAGCCAGCAAAGATTAAAAAATATTGCTACTTAAGGCTCAGCAGATGGCTCAGCCAATAAAGTGGTTGCCTTGCAAGCATGAAAACCTGCCTTCAACTCCCAGAACTTCAAAAGCAAAAACAAAACAGGGCAGACATACCGGTATGTCCCTGTAATTCCACTGCTGGGGTCCTGAGGACGGGGGGATTACCTGGAGCTTGCCGGACGCGTAGTCCGAGTGCTGGATTCCACGTTGAGAGACCGGATTGCAAATGGAACGTGGCAGTGCTTGAGGAGCTACGTATAGCCAGGTTTGTCCTCTGAGGCCTGCACGTGCACGCACGCGTGCTCACCTACACGTATGGAATATGCATGCATGTGTAGATGCCTCCCTATCTCTCTCTCTCTCACACACACCTTAACACTCTCATGCACGTACAATGTTCACGGGTGTGAATGTCATTGCTGCTCAAACTCTGGGGCTGCCAGAAGTTCCTAGAGCAGATTAGCCATGTTGCCATCACCCTAACAAAATGCCGAGTTATGCAACTTACAAAGAGGAAATGGTTGATTAAAACTCATGGTCTTAGAAATTTTAGTCCAAAATCTGTAAACAATTGGTTTTTTTTTAGAGCCTAGTGGGCGCACTAGATGCCTAAAGCCAGGAACTTGTGGTAAAGTATGCCTACTAAGGCCTCTGTGACTGAGACCTGAGGGGATGTGTAGGGTGATGGGTTCACTTAGCCATGGTGACCTGTGAAGAGGTCCTGCGGCACAGTGCATTGGACAAAGAGCTTTTATTATTACTATTATTATTATTGCTTTAAGATGGTGACCGAAGCCCAAGCTTGCCTTGAACTTGGTGTCTGGAATTCCAAGTTTACCCTACCACAACTAGCATAGCCAAACAGCACACAGCGCTTCTTCAGAATATAAGACACGAGGCTGTGCCTGGAGATGGCCCAGGCACTGAGAGTGTGAGGCGAGGCCAGAGTGTGCTAATCATTGTCAGGGAAGCGCACTGTTCGGGTTCATGAAAGTGCTGAGACATCTGTCCGTACCTCCATCTTTTATGTCCTGCTTGCCAGCGCAGCATACTAAAGTTCTGTTTTGTTATATATTTATGTAGCCACAAAAGCTCAACGAAGGATAGCCATGAGGAAAAACAAGGAAAACAAGAAAGGTCGTCAACATCTGTTTCCTCAAGCCGGGCACAGACACTTCGGTATGTTTCCGTTGGTATGGCCACCCATACAAAGTACCCAATTGCCGTGCAGGCTACAGCCCTCAGCACTATACCAGGGCCCACAGGTACTTAACATACCCATGATTACTAGTTAGCAAAGGGTGAGGGTGATGGGTCGCTCTACGTCCATCCCAGGCTGTGCTTCTAATGCAATTACGTGGCTCACAAGGAAGGAGGGCTTGCTCCCTACTGACTCTTAAGACAAAGGCCCATCTGAGGCAAAGGCAGAGAACTGAGTGGAGCTGCCACTCACAGCTCACCCTAGCGCTCACATCCCAGCAACGTTGGGACATTGTCTGGATCGCTCCTTGTTTACTGATGACCCCTCCAGTCACTTAGGGACGCATGTGGTTTCCGATTAAAACAATCAACACAAGGCCCGCTATGAACACTGGGCATGATTTTCAGTTTAACAAAGAAACACAATAATGAGAAGGGTTGGCCATTTGCATTGGAGGCTTCATAGTGGTGACAGGAAGAGGGCGGGAGATTCTCATGGCAACATTTGCCCCCTTGGGCGAGGGCGAAAGCACAGTTCTTCAGACCCTGAACTGTATAGATGCTTTACTTTTCGGTTCACTATAATAAACGCATTCAATGCGTTTAAGGACTTTCATAGCTTTTTACCTTTGAAATAATCATAGGCTCATAGGAAGCTGCATAAGACAGCAATCTCGGTATCTCACACCCAGCTTCTCCGGTGACAACACGGTACGGACACAACACGAGGCCGTGAACATTGCTTCAGTGTGCGTGTCATTTACTCAGGTGTGGCAGGGTAAATCTACCCCCTGCTGTAAGGAGCGCAGCAATCACGACACAGGATGTCACCAGTTCTAGCCAAGCATTCCTCCATTTCCCAGGGTAATAATTGGTCTTTAAGGCGTACGTGCCATCTCAAACACTGTTTTGTTTGTCTCTATGGCTTTCGCGCTTTCCCTACATTTCTGTGGGTTACTGAAACATTTAGATTTGTCTGTGGTTGTTTTGGATGCATCTCTTTTTATAGCTCTGCAGTGACTTTGCTCCAGGTGAGTTGTTTTATTTTGGTTTCTCTCTCTCTCTCTCTCTGTGCCTGTGCCTGTGTGTGTGTGTGTGTGTGTGTGTGTGTGTGTGTGTGTGTAACGAATGCAGTTTGCCAGTGTTTCTTTCAGCAAGTGTGTGGAAACCTTGCTTTCCTTCTGAGGCTCACAAGACGTAGCTGTCATGTGCAGCTCCTCTGTGGCTGTGTTAGTGTTACAGTCCTGCTCACACACCGTACCTTACACTGTGGACTTGTTACTCTTCTTAGTAAGGGCGGCGAGAAGATTGAGGAGACAGCCAGTGAGAGCTCCTCAGAGAGTGAGGAGGATGAGGAACCTACGGAACACCGCCAGGAAGCCAACGCGGACCTGCCTTCAGAATACTGGCAGATACAGAAGCTGGTGAAGTACTTAAAGGTATGAAAGCCTCCCATGCTACGTCTGCCGCTTTAGCGGGAATGATTTTCTAAACCCATGTAGTCTCCTCCTAAGCCTATGACACGCCTCTTAAGAGCCCTGTGCCCTGTGGTTGTCATGGGCGCACTCACAGGAGAAGGTCTTATTATTCTGAGGACATAAGCCTAGACCTCATGAGCATCACTGACTGGTCTGCTGAGTGTGTATTGGAGGCGGGGTAGGGATTGGTGTGGCCAACAGCAGGTATTGACCTTAGTGTGTGCTTTACGATTTTCATTCAGTGTGCTGGAAAGAGCTTGGTCTAGCTTCACTTCCAGCCTGTGTCACTGGCTAGCAGAGGGGCGATGGCGGAGTCTGTGGTTTGAGCCTTGAAAAGCCTCAACTTGCACAATGCATGGAGGAAAGTCCTTTGCCACATTTTCAAGACTGAGAACCACGCTTGAAACAAGTGTCATACATGGCATCTACCCATTGTAGGTGCTGAGATAGGCATTGGCTGGGATGTGTGTGCGCGCGCGCGCGCGCACACACACACACACACACACACACACACACACACACACACATATATATATATATATATATTTGAATGGAAGATGAGGCAAAGAAAAATAGGTTGTCACAGCCCAGATTAACATTCCTTGCTGCTATGTTGAAGCCTTCTGGACAGCTGAAGTCTAAAAATACGGGTAAAAAAACAAGACAGAAACATTTGACTACCTCATGTTTTCTTCTTTTTCATATCTTTGGCCAGATCGGCCAAGGGTATTGCTATTTAAAAGGTATTGCCATTAATAAGGGAGGTCTTCTTTTCTTTCTTCTGATCCTAGTCTATCAGGTCTCATCAGGAGTGGCTGCATTGTCTTCCTCTGTGGCCTGGTAAGGCTGCTCCCCCATCAGGGTGAGGTGATTAAAGAGCAGGCCAATCAGATTATGTCAGAGACAGTCCCTGTTCCTATTACTATGGAACCCACTTGAACACTGAACTGCCACGGGCTACATCTGTGCAGGGGTCCTAGGTTATCTCCATGCATGGTCCTTGGTTGGAGTATCAGTCTCAGGAAAGACCCCTGTGCTCAGATTTTTTGGTTCTGTTGCTCTCCTTGTGGAGTTCCTGTCCTCTCCAGATTTTACTGTTTCCCACTTCTTTCATAAGCTATCAGTGGACTTGGGGAGGGGCATGCATGCAGATGGGGGAGGAAGTGAAGGATTGGGAGGGGAGAAGGGAGGAACAACATATGATATATGAATATCATATATTCATATAATATATGAATTATAAAGTGTAATTCATAAAGAATTAAAAAAAAGAAAAAAGTCAAATTGCCTTCTACTTACATTAAATAAACATCCATTATTTTTTGGCTTCTTTAAAAAAATTCATAATATAATATCTTCTAGCTGTTTATAAGAATTATTTCACATGCTTAAATCACCAGAGATAGATATTTAAATGCATGAAGAATGTTATATAAGTTTAACTTAATTTTATATATCTTCCATTCCAATTATGCTTTCAAATTTTATGTTAATCATTATTAAATCATGCAAGTGTAATGTTTGCCTTCCATTTTATTTTGACATTATACATATGTCTTTGTAAATTAAAAAAAAAAGGCATTGCCTCATAACCGTGAGGCAGCATGGAAAACAGCTTTTCTGCATGATTTTGAGACTCTGAGAAAAGCCTTCTGAATGGATGGTCTTAAAGGTGTCAAGGAGCTGAGGAAAATCTTGTGAGGAAAAAATGAGCTTCTCTCTTCTAAGGGCCATGCTTTTGGCAAAAAACTGCCAGAGTTTCTTAGAAAAAAAAATGTTTTCCTGAATCCCAGAAAACTTAGTGAAGACATTGTGGAGTGTGTTTTAATTCTCCTTTGGGAATTCTGGTTCTCAGTCCCCTCTGATGTGGATCATGATGAGGTTATTGTTTAGAAGGAATTCATTTAACAGAGAAGAGCAGAGTGCTTTGCCAGTCAAAGGCACAGGCAGGCATTTCCAGGTACTGGGGCAGGCCCGTGTCGGAACAAGAGCAACCACTGTCTAATTAGCTTTTTTTGTGTCTGTTTTCGAGCTCTGAATGTGTGGCTGCTGCTAACCTGACTCATTCTTGCAAAAGTTAGTGCTGATTGGCGGGAGAGTCGGCTCAGCCAGTAAAGGGCTGGTTACATAAGTGTGCGTTTGGATCCTTGGAGCCTGTGGACGAGCCAGACATGCTTGGTTCCATATCTGCAGTCTGAAGCAGTGAGGCAGAGAAGCCCATCCCTGAGCTTACCCAATCAATGAGCTCTAGAGTCACTGAGCAAGCCTTTCTCAAACGATAAGGAGAAGACCAAGGGAGAAAATAAATAGCCCTACCGAGCTGTAAAACCTGCAAAAACTACTGGCTTGGCAAGTTGACCCCAGTGGAGCAATAATGGCACATCTTACTTGGGGTTAACAAATACCAGTATAATTGTACTTACGACCTGATAGATAGGAGGGAATTCATGCCAGGTGCTATAAACCCAACCACCTGCCAGTGGCTGGAAAGGTCATAGACCCTAGAGGAGACCCACCTACTGACATTTCCCTTAACCAACGTAAGTCCTAACTACTCTACTGACTACTGACTCCTATTTCCACACCCACACGTAAGTGTAGTTCTTGCCTGTAGTCAGAGAAGCTTCTTTTTGCAGCAGAGCTCCACGACTGTTAATAGTACAGAAAATAAGTGGCCATGGGTGCCTGTTTCCTAATGTCTGCAATGAAACTGCTATACCTAAGGCTGAGGGAAAGTTGTGGAAGATGGGACGGAAAGATTGTAAAGGCCAGAAGACAGGACACCCGCAGTGAGGTAATACGTGATGCCTATGAAATAGACTCTGAATAGACTCTTGAAATCTGAACAACGTGGTCGCCTAAACAGCGCCTGCACGGTGACCACAGTGGCCCACACGCCAGCACGGCTGAGGAAACCTGCACAGGGCCCCACCCCTGGATGGAGAGCTGCAGGCAGTCAGTGGTTCCCGAGAGAGGAAAATCAGCTTTCCTCGGGGTCATGGGCCCTGATGAGTTATTCCGTTCCAGTGAGATCAGCTCTAAACACACGTATATATGAGCAACACTAAGCAGACTTGGTTGGTTATATCCATCTATACATAACGATAGCTAAAGTTGTATTTGTATGTAAAGGGAGTTCCGATGGAATCAGCTTATGGTGGGGAGGAAAGGCCTCTCCCACACACCATAACACTACAGTACAAGGTATGGATTACTCTTTTACAAGATGTTCACTGGTGAGATCCTGTGGACACCTCTCCCCAAACATTACATGATGTTTCCCCTGCTTTGGTTACTGTGGAACTGATGATAAAGACCCTGGTCCTGAAGACACCATATATTTGAGTCATAGAACATGGAGAATTGAAGCTGGTACTGATTTGGAAGCTTTATAGTTCAGACTTTCATAGAAACAGGTGAAGAAAAGTCATCAATAGTGTCACCAGCTGCGAAATCCAGGAGAATAAAAATATCTGGCCAGGTATGCCACCGGTTCTACGTGAAGGTTATGGGAAACAATCAACCACTTTCTAATGGAATTGAAGACTTCCTTCTCCACAAGAGCAAAATTATGCCTAGCGCCATTGACTGGGTCAAAAACCCATGGTTGGCCAGTTCATAGGTGCTAAGCAGGACCTAATCATATTCTGCTAAATGGAAAGACTATTAAACTTCCCCTAAGTCCTTGTCTTTATATGCATAGACTAACCTTTATCATCTCTCAGCCTTTATCAGAGAATCTTCTTTTTGCAGCAAATGGTGGTTAAATGAGACAAACACCCACAGCTGTTGAGGGGGCACAGAATGAGATACCCTAGAGTGCTCATCTCTAAACTGAAATCTATCACACTTCCTCCCCACGAGGCTCCAGGGCGACCACCAAGATTGCATGTAAAGATTGCAAGAGCCAGAAAGAAGCAGGGGACTTTTGCAGTAAAACAGTATTTGTCCGACATGACAAGACACATGAGTTCACAGCGTCTGTGACTTCCTGCACAAGATCAAGCCAGCAAAAATCCCTTCCTGGAGAGGGAGGGCCTCATGAAGACCCACCCCCACCAACCGGCAGTTCATGGCTTCTGGGAAGAGGCAATCTTTTTCAGGGATGTGTCTCATAAGACACTGACTGTGCTCTAGTGTGTGGTCCTGTGTCCATGCTCATAATGGTTGTATTTAGTGGACATGGTGTTTTGTTGTTGTCTTAAATGATTTCTTTATTTTATGTATATAAGCGCTCTGTTTTCATACACACCAGAAGATGGTGTCAGATCATAGTACAGATGGTTGTGAGCCACCAGGTGGTTGCTTGGAATCGAACTCAGGACCTTTAGAAGAGTAACGAGTGCTGTTAACCACTGAGCCATCTCTCCACACCCCCTCCTCCATTGTTGCTGTCTTTTTAGGGGTACAGGAATTTTGGAAAGGAATTGAGGGAGGATGGGGATGAATTGGAGATAAAGGAATGGGGAAGTTGATAAAAAAAATTGTAGGCATATATGAAAATTTCAAACAATAAAAAAGAGAATAAAAATCCCCACACTAACCTCTGGCCTCCACATGTTCACAGACATGCACAAATATGTATATCCAAGTTCATGTGAACAAGATTATATGCACAAGCAGCACATAAACATACATGTGCAAAGATCTCTTTACACCATAAACAAAAAGAACTAAAAATGGAACATCTGGAATTGTGAAATTACTAGAGAGAAGGAGCGCTGTTCTCTTGAATAATAGTCTGGACAGAATTCTCTTGAATGTGACTTCTAGAACATAAGCATGGAATTGAGTCACACTGAATAGCAAAGGCATATTGTAAGAGCGAGACAATATTTCATAGCTTGGTAAAAAGTTTGTAAACCATGAGTCTGATGAGGGTCTAATGGGCAAAATAAATAAAAACCCAACTCAATTACAAGAAAATAATACAGTTAATAAATAGACACATGACCTAACCA